GGATTTTTGGACTAGGGCTGCGCTGACAGCTTCGCTTCCTACCGCAAGATACAGATAAAGCGTTTCTCCACTGTCTGGCTTGGTTAATACTGGTGGGCATGAGAGGGCCCTCTTGAACTTCTGAAAGGCTTTTTCGCATTCTTCTGACCATCGAAAGGCGTTCCCTTTTTTGAGGAGACTGAAAAGTGGAAGGGATTTATGCGCGGAATTCGCCAAAAAACGGGTGAGGGATACTAACCTTCCTGTCAGCTGTTGGACTTCTTTAACGGTTTGCGGGCTTCACATTTCTATGATCGCCTTGCACTTGTCAGGATTGACCTCGATACCCCTCTCCGTGAGCATGAATCCAAGGAATTTACCTGCAGGAACGCCAAAGGCGCACTTGCTGGAGTTGAGACGCATATTGAATTTTCTCAATCTGTCGAACACGCCTTGGAGGTCTGTCAAGTGCTGGCTTGGCGTTCTAGATTTGGCGATCATGTCATCGATATAAACTTCGATGCAATTACCGATCAGGTCTCTGAATACTTCATTCATCCTTCGTTGATAAGTGGCGCCTGCGTTCTTTAAACCGAAGGGCATCATGGTGTAGCAGTAGTTGGCGTTCTGGGTGATGAATGTCGTCTTACACTGGTCCTCTTCCAGCAAAGGTATTTGGTTGTAACCAGAGTATGCATCCATGAACGATAATATTTTGAAACCGGACACGTTGTCAACCAGCTGATCTATGCTAGGGAAAGGGTATACGTCTTTAGGGCATACCTTGTTTAGCTCAGTATAATCTATGCACATTCTCCACGCCCCGTTTGGCTTCTTAACCAGGACGGGGTTTGATAGCCACGTGGTGTACTTGATTTCTCGGATGAACCCTGCATCGTGGAGTCTTTTCACTTCTTCATCAATGATCTTTTGGCGCTCGATGCCAAACTTTCTCTTCTTCTGGGAAATGGGCTTGGCTTTGGGGTCAATGGACAAACGATGGCAACATAATTTGGGATTGATGCCTGGCATGTCAGATGGTTTCCATGCAAATAGGTCTATGTTGTCTTTCAGCAGCTTGATCAACCTGTCTTTTGTTTCGGGATCCAGAGTCGCCCCGATGGTTGTTGTCTGATGTTTATCATCGCCCAGCACGACGTGCTCTAGGGCACCGTCTAGCGTGGGCTTAGCATGCTCTGCTCACGGATCATCTCTGGCATCAAATTCTACCAGGAAACACTGATCGTGAGCTCCCCCTTTCTTGGCAGGTCCTTCATTGGTGGGCAGGTCCCCCACTTGTTGAGATGCTGGTTGATCTTTGAAAGTTACCTTAGTCATTGGGCGCAAGGATATATTATAGCAACTTCTGGCTACTATCTGGTCGCCCTTCACCGTTGCAACCTTATTGTCTCTGGCGACGAACTTCATCTCCAAGTGTGGATGGGAGATGCTCGTCTCAAAGGCGGCAAACATTCTTCTGCCGAGAATGGCATTATACGCAGAAGGAGTGTCTAGCACTAAGAACTGGATATCTGCTGACTTTGATGTGGGCGGCGTTCCGAGGGAGATACGCATACTGATCACGCCCAAAGACTTGGTTGTGGTTGCGTTGAAACCTGAAAGTTCTCCTGCGACTGGGGTTAAGTCATCAGCTGTAAACCCCAATGCCCTGAAACATGGCAAAATCAAAATATCAGCGGAACTGTCGTGATCGACAAATACACGGTTAACGCCATAGTTGGCAATTATGGCCTGGATGACAAGAGGGTCATCATGTCCTGGGAGGACATCGCCTAGATCGCTGTTATCCCAAACAATTTTGGGCCTGGTCGGACTTGAGTCTATTTTACCAATGACTTTCCCAGCAACTGCCATACATTGCTTCAAGTGCTTTTTTCTGGCGTTCGACGTCTCACCGCCACAGCTCAATCCTCCGGAAATCATATTTATAACTCCGTGCTTGACGGTTGCGGGATCTTCTCCCTCGTCGTCTCGCCTTCCTCTGCCGTTGGGGCTTCCTTGCGCTCTCTGGCTCCCTGGAGAGTCTTCTCTTCTGTCACGTTCATGTCGTGGTCGAGAGTTCACCCGCCTCGCTCGTCTTCTCTCTGGCGATTTACTGCGCTCCCTGTACCGCCTTCCGGTTCCGGATGGGCGTGCACCATCGCCATCTCTTCTTTGAGCACCGCCCTTAATGAGCTCATCAATCTCATCTTAGAGGTGCCTGCACTCCTCAGTACTGTGGCCGTTTCTGCGGTGGAACTTGCAGTAGGTCGCGGCTTCTCTAGCTGGTTGCTGAGGGCGTTGATTTCCTCTGAAATCATCTTTATAATCCGTGTGTAGGACGCTGTGAGTTTGGCGCCCTGTTGTGTCACGCCTCGAAGGATGGTTGGTATATCTAGCTGACTTATGTCCCTTCTTACTATCTTCTATTGGGCTCTTATTTTTGTTGGCTTCCTTTTCTTGGCCGTAGGCATCATCAGCTCGACTTCCCTTGTATTATTCCACTCTCATATACTCCTGGGCCACTTTCCTAACTTCTTCTAGCTCAGTAATTTCATGGCGCGCTAGATCGTAGGCAAACGGCCCTGCTCGTAAGCCTGAAAGAAGTATATGAACCTGCACTTTTGGGTCTAAGCCCTGAACCTGAAGGGCTTCTTTGTCAAAGCGGTCTAAAAAGGATCGAAGAGACTCTCCAGATTGTTGGCGGATTTTCTCGAGTGAGTGAACGGACTTGGGCACGGGGCGACTGGTTGTGAAGTGGGACTGGAACTTGCTTGCTAAGTCGTCCCAGGACGCGATGCTTCCAATTGGTAGGGTAGTGTACCATGTCAGCGCTCTCCCTCCCAGAAGCGTAGGGAAAGTTCTGCACATAAGGAGGTCCGTTTCGCCATGCAGCGCCATTGCTGCTTCAAACTTTTGGACCCATTCAAAAGGGTCTGTCTCTCCAACATACGTGACGATGTTGGAGGGGCCTTTAAAGCCTAGGGGTATGGGAGTCAACCGCATGATGTCGGTCAAGGGCTTGTTGCGCCCTGACGTATGAGTAGGGGTTATTCTGACGTTGTGGTTGTGGGCTTGGTGGTCTGGCTGTGGATGAGGTATATGTGGGGCCTCCACGGAGTAAGAGAGAGCTGGGTGTGATTAGGGACCTGATGGGCGATATAAGGTGGTTGTCCGGCATTCTGGCCAGATGCTTGGGGTTGTAGGGCGGCAATGTGGTGAGGTGGCATGGCGTAGCCATGGAAAGGGTAACCAGCGATGTAAGGTTGGGGGAAAGGAGTAGCGATATTGTAGGTGTAAGGTCCTTGTGGATGTGGGGCGCCCATGGGGGCTCGGTGAGTGTTATAGATCGCTACCGGTTGACTGCGGGCTGGTTGTGGTCGATAGGCGGTTGGGTGAATTGGAGGGGCAGCAGCGTGGAATGGCATTCCAAAGTGAACTCCTGGCTGTGGGGGCTGGTCAGGGACCACATTTTCTCCTTGCATTTCATGTATAGGTGCATGGTGGTGACCTGGCTGAGCTATTCCGGCGCCAGCTGCTGGCAACTGTGGCCCGGCAGATAGTAGCACTGGTGTGACAGCCTCAGCAGTGTGGCGCACAGCTGGGGCTGAACGCGTGGATGGCGGGGAGTTGGAATGTACAGTTTGTACGTGACCATCAGAGGTGATAGCCCTGGCTTGTTCCGCTCTTCTAGTCGTGACAACCATGTTAGCTATTCAGATAGAAAGGACGTCTTGTGGTCTTAGGTAGGAGGGTGGGAATAGAAGTTTATAGTTTCCCACAGACGGCGCCAATGTACCGTTTGGAATCTATAAGCCCACTATGTTCCCTTTAGGGATGAGTCAATGTATGGATGATACCCTTAGCACAGGTACAGACCAAGCTAAGGAGTATAGTGCCAAGTACAAGCAAAGTAATCAATGGATAAGCTAGGGTGATAAAATGACTCTAAGGAAATGGGCAATATAACGATACATAAGATAACCTTTGGGGTGCCCTCTGGGGAGCTATTTATAAGGGAAGATTGTGCTTACCGGGTGAAGGTTGGTGGGGAGAAGGTCAACTCTCCTTGGGACCATATGCCGATGGCAGTGTTGGGCGTGACAGGCGCTGCCATCGTAGCAGCGTTGTGCCTTCTGCGTCTGGCGATGTCAGCATTGGTCCCAGGGGGACAGTTTCCTCTTAAGGCATTTGGGCGACCTCTTTCAGGACTTGAGGTCCCTATGTGGGATACTTTGGTGTTTAGCCTTGGGAAGTTACCACATTGGGGGGTACGCGTCGCCCCAGCTAGTAGTGCTGACGTGGATGCTTGGTAGGTGTTGGGCCTTAACTATTGGGCCTGACTCTTGTTGGGCCATCCGGAACAAATGGTGTACGAATTGAAATGTATAATTTAAAGATAATATAAAAAGTTTTTTTTTTCGTACTATTGTTATATTATTTGGAGTAAATAAATATGTCATTGACATAGAATGCAAACATAATAACATTAGGCAGTTTCAATTCCAAAATAAATAATAAATAAAATAAAAATAAGCATAAAAGTTGATGTAGAGAAAACACTTTTGAACTCACAGGGAAACGTGATTTTATTCATTCATATCATACCTTCACTATTACACTGAGTTAAATAAAGTTCAAGACAATGACTTCATATAGAAGCAAAATTGCTTCTTTTTTTCTATGCTATTCTCTTGTTAAGCTAGCAAATATCATGCTTCACATTTTCATTTTCATTTTCATTTTCATAGATAACAAGAACCACACAACAAACGAAACTAGAGGGTGGTAAACCGTAAACATCCACCACAGCTATCGAAACTGTCTCTTCCTTTTTCAAAATTGAAAACAGAACACAGTTCCTCACATCACAATTCAAATGACTAGGACTATCTTAAAATAAGCCCCTTTCATTTGCTCCTAAAACTCACCAATCACTATCATATTCCCTTTCTATTACAAACTATACTTGTTTTATATCACTAAGTATAACAAACACAATAATTATAGCAACCAACACTCCCAATGACAAAATGTGAAGGGTTTGCGTTCTTCTTTGTCTCTTAAGGAAATTGAAGGCCTGTGAAGGTTTGGCCAAAGGACCAGCCAGCAGGTGCAACATTATAAGAGACCACGGTTTGACCGTCGCTAGTGGTAACCTTGAAGGAGAGGCTCTGTCCATTGAGGTAAGCGTTGCTTTGCCAGTTCTGACCCCAGTTTCTAGACATTGGCTGCCAATTAGTTCTTGAACCTTTGATGGAAACTGCATTAACATCACCAGCACCACCAACGTTGGTAATTAGGACTAGATTGAAGTAAGAATGGCCGTTGATGGTGAATCTTATGCCACCTCTCTTTTGGCAAGGGACCCTACATTATCAACAGTCAAAGAAGAAGAATCAAATGCTTGGTCAAAACAAGGACCAACCCTGCAAAGTAGCAAACTAAGGTATCAAGATAAAAGGGGGTGTGGTTACCTTACCAGTGGAATATATTCCTAGCTACAAAATATCAAAACATTGACATAGCGAATACATACAATCTATTTGTCTAAGAATTTAAGAATTTTTGAGGGAAATAAAGAAAAAGAAAAACAATCTTAGAATCCTAAGAACTTTCAATTTTGGATGGAAAAGTCCCCTTAAGGCTCCAGCATTAAAAAGACATTCTTAGACTTAGATAGGAAATACTTAAGTCCGTGCCTTATAAATTGTATTCTATATTTTAAGACCACAAACAAGAAAAAGTACATTAGAATTATGTCATGAAAAAAGATCACGTGAATTGTCTTCAGTCTTTAATTATAATTGTGTATAACTTCTTGTGGACAATATTACTAGGCAAGTAAAAGCCTCAAAAACCATAATTAGAAAAAAGGAAAAAAAAGATTCTATAGTATTGCTTCAGACAAGGGTAAAGTGGCTAGATGTGTCAGAAACGACAATTATCAGATTTTGTTTTATAAGGCATTTGATGACTCAAGCAGTGCGTACAATTTAATAACAAAATTCCAAAAAAGACACTGAGAATAAGAAAAATGAACAACCTTCGATAAGCCACGGGTACTATTCCAGCTCTGTATTGAGCTATGTGTTGAAAGACAGGTTGAGAAAGATCAAAATGGTGAAGAGGAGGGTTGCACCAACCACCTGCATTATTTGGTAATGCATTGTTTGGTGGGCAAAAATTGGTGGCAGTGACCACAATTGAGCTTGTAAGGCACCACCTTTTGTCATTAACACACTTAATCTCAAAACATGCCCCACAACTTAAACCATTGTTGAACAAGGCCGTGCTCAAAGCAGCAGTGTTAGTCCCATACCCCTGGCTATACAAGTTCCCATATCCACAAGCCCCACCTGCAACAAAGCATAAATCACACACAGGTTTATATAATCTATCATTTCAATCAACCTATGTTCAAAGAAAGTGCAATAAAAATTACATAAAAACCAAAGGGTGGACACATTGTGTGTCACATAACTGTAAAGTGTTACTCACCCATTGTGCCAGAAGCATCACCCCCTCCATAGAAGGTTGCATGAGCATTCATCCAACCAACACTGGACGCATAGACAGATGATCCCAAAGAGAGAAATCCCACCAAGAGAAGCCCCAAAAGACTCATCTTTCAGTCTTAAAAGATATATGAATGTTAAATAGAGTAACACCTTAATAGAGAGAGAAAGAGAGAGCAGGGGAGACTTTAACTTGTGAGGAAAAACAGAGATGCATAAGTGGGGAATAAATAGATGTTATTGCAAGGGAATGAAAAGGGTTCTTTGCTTAAGCAACGTCACCCCAACGAACTGACACATTTGTGAGGTGTCACCCAAAACCGCCAAGTGCAAGCTTTTATTTATTTTTTTATGCAGGAACAAGGTACTATTCCTGAATCCACGTGGTTTTGATTCTTGTTGTGTAGTGTGTAGGTACTTAAAACTAATGTCCGAATTACAAATAGAGTATGATGATGTGCAAGTAAAAACTGTTGTTGCCACTAGATAGAGTATGATGATGTTCAAGTCACTAGTTACCAGTTACCAACTTGCCATAGTCGAGCATCAACTAGTTCTGTAGTTGACAAAATTATGTAGTTGAATTTGATCAATTTGTTACTTGAAACAGAAGATTCTTAATTAACGGTTTAAAATTAAATTACCATAACAAGAACAGAGAAAACGACCCAATGGTGCAGCTCAGTTGGTTCCTTGGCGTTGAGTTAGTAAGGTTGGACATGTGTTCGATTCCCGTTGAATGCATTCTTAGGGAGGGGCTGAACCTTTAGCCATCACTGACCCTCGCACTCCGGATTAGTCTCATAGCCGGCTCAAAGAGTCGAAGCTTGTGTGGATACCGGAGAGCCAACTCGCCTCAAAGAGCTAATTAGAGTTTGGTAACTCGAAAAAAAAAAAAAACAGAGAAGACGGACATTACTTTTTTTTATTCAAAGCAAAAATATTTTATTAAGCACGCCAACCGAAAGTGCTCTTAAAATGGACTTTATTAATGCATGAGTACTGATATTATGTACGTAATATGCATTATTATGTAATTATCATTTGTCACCTATTTATATAGAGTTTTACCATAAGCTGGGAGAACGAAGCGTACCAAATAAATTTGATTGTGGCATAAACTAATAAAAGCACCAATTAATACATCTCACCAAAACATTGCTCCGTCCAAAAGCATATTCAAACTTCAAAGCTAACTTATGGGTCTTGCATTTTTAATTATTTTCACGTTTTATCACTAGCAAAGTTTGAATTTCAGCTATATTTATGCCACAGAGAAAACCACAACAACTTCATCAGAACTCAATCAATGCTGCAACATGGTGGGTTCACTGTGTTAACAACTTAGATAAACCATTCTCTTCTTTCACATATTTAAAATCAAATGAATAATGAAAAGGAGACGATCTGAGATAGGATAACTCAGGATCCAGATGATCATAGCCGTTAAAAAAAAGGTTTTATTAAATAATAGTTTATAAACAGAATAAATTCACCTTATTTGTAAATTGCAGAGGCAGCACGTGGGTGATGCTGTTTTATATAAACAGAATAATCAGTTGAAGAGAATTTGACGCTTGGGTCGGAGTTGGCAAATTCGAGACTCTTTTTCTTTTTTTTCTTTTTTCAGAAAAACAAAAAATACTTTTATTTTAAACAAATAGATAGTAGACACATTGAAAATACTTGGACAAAAAGGAACTTGCATACAACTCTCGATATATTTTACAACTAATTATTACATCCATTTATATTCTCATTTTTGAGACGGACATAAAACATGGAATTAAAATATAACAAAGAATCCTTTCTTTTTTGAGCTGGGTACACATTTTGGGCCCACCATCGCATCAATTTTAAAAGAAGAATTCTATGTTCAACTAAGACGGACACCCCCTCCCCCCTTTTTTTAAACAAAACCTACTATTATATATCCTTACCGACACTGGTATTTACAAAAGGACCTGCCGACACTTATTATTTACATATTCATGTAGTTGCTTTTTTAATGCTTTGTGCTTCTGACAAAATTCTTTACTATTCTTCCACCAGCTAGAGGATAAAATTCTCTGTTAGATCATAGACCCTGGTGCTAGATTCTTTTATCTATGTTTTGTCTATCAATTGTATCTAGGGAGTCTCCAGAAACTGGTGTATATATATCTTCTTCTTCTTTAACTTTTTCTGGTTCAACCAGTTGTCTGATCTTTTTTTGTGCATTTAATATTTATTCTATTTTTCTCTTTAGTGTTTCTAATGTAGCTTCTTCTTGGCTTTTTGGCAAAGCCACACAGCCTTCAACGTATTTGTCTTTTCATCTACAGGCACCGTTTGAGCCTGTAAAGGCATATAACATGTTTTTATGCTTGCTTCTTGATTACTCAGAAAAGAGCAATTACCTATCTCACACATTTTTGTGGCCGGAAAACAATAAGATTTTTGCTAAAATGAATTCACTTCTTGTTATAATATAAATATATGTTTGAGAAATCTCTCTCTTTCTTCATTAAGATTTCTAACTGTTTTAGCCAGCATCTCACAGTGGTCATAAAATAAGACTTTTGATTGACTACTGGAAGCTTTAAGATATGGTAACAGTTCAGAAAAATTTCTAAGAGAATCATGAATATAGAAATTGGGACCGAGGAAAGATCTAGCAGCTGAATAAGCTTCTTCTATTGTATAAAAACTTTATATTTTGGATTTTTGAAATTTCTAATTTATTCTACAATATCTATCCAAGAATTGAAGACACCAGGGGAATTTCCTTCAAATACAACATAAAAACAAAATTTTTCTAGGCTTTGATTGAAAGTATGACCTAAGGCATCCATGGCTGCATTACAATATTTCCTATCTTTTGGTTCTTTATTAAATGAGACCCATAAATTATCTAAAATGCATTTTTGTTCTAAAGAAAAAGTTTTCCCTACTATAGGTCTAAAGGATATATTTGAACTAGGAAATATTTGAACAGTAACACCCCGTAGTACTCCGGTTGTTAACATCATGACATTGTACCGTACACAACGGAATATTTTATTTAAAGATTAATAATTCGTCTTGTAAAAATATGAATAAACTTTTTCCAAAATATTTTCTGAAAACATTTCTAAAAACGTTCACGTGAGATACTGCAAAAGCGTAAATCTAAAATATATATATCTACTAATTAATCCCATTAGCCAGTATTAGTGGCCATTGACTAACCGGATATGACAACAAGTGTCATTCCTGCCAGAGTCTCATGGACAGCATAACGACTATTTAACAGATAACTGGGAGATAAGAATCTCACGCACAATTATACCTGATAGATATAGTTATATAATTGACAGCTTGCAAGTCCCACACGAACTGCAATCCCTTCAATGGGTCAGTACATACATAATGCCTCTGTGCCCAAATTAATAAATTCATACATCATATCTTTGTGTACTCATCACATGCATCTGACATAACTCATAATACATACATCAATAATCCAAAAGCTCAAACAGTAAATAATCATGAGCATTATTACATACAACAACATAGTCTCAAAATAAGCTGACTAGGCATGACAAAACACTACACATGCCACATAATAACATAACGGCATAAAAATAAACAGTAGCCACAATCCACTAATCCGTAGCTAGGCTGATAAACCTTTGATTTACCATGTTTTTAGGCTAAATTATATAAGAATTATGTAGTAGAATGCATGGAATTCAAGGTTTTAATACATTTAAGTCATAAGATAGGAAATTGAGCTGACGTTTTGATAATAATTGCATTTTTGAAGGTAAAACCACAAGAATTGGTGCTAAAAGTGCTAAAGAAATCATGACGAAGAAGTAGCAGATCAATATGGATCAAAGGAAACCAACATATTACAATTCAAGGTCCAGGAAAGCACGCTCAAACGCACAAGAGGACGCTCGAGCGTTTGGAAGCAGGAAAAACAGCCAAATTGGGCACATAAGGACGCTCAAGCGCACATATGCACGCTCAAGCGCCCAAGAAGACATAATTTCGGACTCGAGGAGCACGCTCGAGCGCCCAGCAACAACAATTTTCAACAATTCAGGGCGCTCAAGCGCCCTGTGGCGCGCTTAAGCGCCCAAACACGGACCTGACAGCAAAGATGCACCAAGATTTGCTGAGATTTAATGAAGATTTGTCCAATTATGATTTGGAACTAAAGCGGAAACATATCAAAGCCGATTCCATAGAAGATTGAAGGAAGATTATACAAGATTCAAAGCTTAAATCTCTCAACCAATCCACAAGATATTAATTGCAAAAAGGAAAAAATTGGAGAATCAATTACAAATCTAATATGGATACGGCAAGAGATGCAATGAAGTATACAACCTCCAATGGCTATAAATAAAGAGCTCGAGGTCAGAACCAAGACACCAATTTCACAATTCCAGAGCATTACACCAAGACGGAAGGAGGAATCCTGTTGCGGAGCGCTGGAACACTGAGGAACCAAGTCAACATCACACCAATGGAGGCTTGGGGTTCTCTTTTCTTTATTGTTATTTTTCAATTCAGTATGCTAGAGTAGTCTTTTATGTAGTCAAGGGTAGATGGAACTCAATTGAATCTTTATGTTTATGAATTAAATTGTCTCCGAATCCTGTTCTTTTTATAATTGAATAAATTATCTGTTTTTAATGCTTTCTATGAGTTTGTTCCTTATAGAATGATTTTGGGGAATTGTATGATAATAGGGATGTTGGTGCATGAACCTTGACTTGATAATTTATCATAATCCTTGTGATCTAGGAATAGGAATAGGAATAGGAATAGACATAAGGTAATTATGCAATCTTGTAATTCTTGATCTTAATGCATGCTTTTCTTGGGGAATAATCGGGGAACTAGAGTTCTTTCAAGATTACATAGATTTAGGGTAACAAGGAATTGAGCCCTAATTAACTCAGATATAATTGATTGGCAATATATTAAGAAACAAATTCTTGGCTATTTAATTCATAACATATTGAGGATATTGGGGGAAGCCGAAACCTTAACTACGCTTGTTTAAATTTCAATCAAACATCATCATCATTCATTCTTTTAATTCTGAATTTTCATATTGCATGCCTTTACTTGT